TAAGTCCACTTCAGGTTATGTGTGTGCCTGGATTTCTTTTTGTTCGTAAGTGGCTCTCTGCATCAACTGCATCACATGCCCAGACAACCCTGGTCCTGTCGTGGCTAGGCTAGATATGAAAGCAGAGTCACAACTTTTGGTGACTCGACTCGACTCAAGTCCCTAAGGGTAAATGACTCGACTCAACGGCGAGCAAACGATCCGAGTTCTCATCAGAAACTTGACTCGACTCGAGCGAAGGATAATTAGGCTCGAGTCCTATATAAAAGCAAAACTTTGTGAAAAAAATAATAGCATTGACTTACGATGCAACATTTATGTTCATGCCGCTTTGCGAATACAGTTACAGCGGCCGCTTGTAATGTCCACGTGTCACAGACTCCCCATACCACATCATTCTGGAAGGTACAAAATACCATCCACCGAGAAACCGGATTTTAAACAAATTTTCCAATTTGTCGTTTCATCATTGGTTTTGGGCGATTTCTTATAAAGTTCTTGGATACGAACGCCGGCTTAATTTATGCCCTCCTTTTAAAGATTAAATAGAAACATACCGACTCTTAAATAATCAGAAACAGTTTTGTATAATGCAATTTGGTTTTGATGTCAGCGTATCAGCGAAATAAAATCTAGACCCGAAGCCCAACCAGATAGCCTTAATAAGATCGAAGTTTCACTTCTTGTTAACTGTTAGTGATACAAATGACTCTCTCTCTTGTCTTTGTTGTGTAGTTTTCAAATATTCGTAACTCAAATTGACTCAAGGTAAACATTTGACTCCACCCGACTCGACTCAAATTAAACTAATGACTCAAATTAAACTAATGAATCCAGCATTCATTATGATCGTGCTGTTGATGCCCATGAGGTAATTACACTCCAAGTATTATTCCATGTGGTTTGAAACATAGAGAAACCTGCCATCCATCGGGGTAACAATGTGTAGATTCCTTGTTATCAAATTTATGGGGTTTGCCACCAAAATATCCAAGATGGCTGCCATCCATTGGGAGAACTCCGTCAACAATGATTTACTTGGGTTCCTTGGTATCAAAAATATGACGTTTGCCACCCAAAATGGACTTCGTACGACATTCAGGTGCGACGTTATTATTGAAATGAAATCCAAGATGGCGGCTATTTTGAAATATCCAAGATGGCTGCCATCCATTGAGAGACCCCGTCAACAATGATTTACTTGGGTTCTTTGGTATCAAAAACATAGGGTTTGCCACCAAAATGGACTTCATATGACAATGAGGTCCGAAGTTATGATACAAATTAGGTCCGAAATGGCGGCCATTTTGAAATATCTAAGATGGCTGCCATCCATTTAGAGTACCCCATCGACAATGATTTACTTGGGTACTTTGGTATCAAAAACATGGGGGTTTGCCACCAAAACGGACTTCATATGACAATCAGGTCCGAAGTTATGATACAAATTAGGTCCGAAATGGCGGCCATTTTGAAATATCCAAGATGGCTGCCATCCATTGGGAGTACCCCATCAACAATGATTTACTTGGGTTCCTTGGTATCAAAAACATAGGGTTTGCCACCAAAATGGACTTCATGTGACAATCAGGTCCGAAGTTATGATAATGAAATCCAAGATGGCCGCCACATGGTAGATGGAAAAAAATGTTACCAATGGATTTCTGGCTTAGGAAGGTAAACTCTACCCAAATATGACAAAAATTCCTTCTTTAGCAAACAACATGCAAAGGTCAAAAATGTGACATAGTATACTATACTAGTAGGCCACTTTTGAGAAAATGCAAATAATCCTAAATGCTTTTCAATTTTGGAAAGTCTTATTTCACATGACATATTTGTTTTAGCTCCCTGGATTCTGCAGTGGATACCGAGGTTTCTGTACCTATGAATACAACCCAGTATGCGGAAGTGACGGGCACACCTATGGTACTGAGTGCTCCTTGTGTGCTGGGATCGCAAACGGGGACGTATCCAGCAGTGTTACATATGTCCCCGGAGAGTGCAAACGATAGAAAGTGTGACCTCATCAAACCCGATCGAATCACCTCCTACTATAGCAAAAACCGACTTAGATTTCAATACAACTAAACTTGAGAAAAATGTATACTGAATAATAGAAGGCTTTCATAATAAGTACAACGATCGATCGATATCTCTAAAAAAAAACTTAGTCAAAATATTGACTGGTGTTCCTAGTTATTGAAAACTGACTAGGAATTTAGTTAAACATGCAAAGTTTCATACTAGAAAAGGTAGTTGAATTTGACTCCAATTTTAGTTATTTGCATAACTACTTTTCAAAACTGACTGAAAAAATCTAGTCAGATTGACTGCTTTTCAGCACGCAGCTGACCCTGAACGGTTCATATTCAACCGATTTCTAGTCAAATCTGACTAATTTTTTTTTGGCAATCATTTTCTATAAACTCTTGCAATGTAGCTTACATTGAGCTTACTTATGTGACACATCTACACATTTTCGTAGTCTGGTTCCCGTCTCACAACCATATACCGTCACAGAGACGGATGCTAGTCTCTGTTTGTTGTCGTGTAATACTTACAGGTCTATTAGCTTTGTGTTGGTGGAAAATGAAACGCATTCAATACTGCTGATGTCGTTACGGTGAATGTTCCTTCGAAAAAAAAGAGAAATGATTTGATGTTTAGCTTATTCAGTTTTAGAAAACTGTTAACAATTTTTCCTGTCATCATTTGAAACTCTAGACCATAGCTAGCAGTTTTATTTAAGTGAAAGAAACTTGCATGTACCGACTAGACCAAAATGCTAAACGCTGCTAAGAAGACGAACATCTAACTTGCAGAGTTTATTTTATTCAAAAGTCAATAATCCCTAACGATCCTTCCTGCATATTTTACAATTCTACAGGGTGATATAAAAAAAGAAAAAAGGAAACCCAAATGGCAGGGCCATTTTGGTTATGAAGATCAGCATGTAGCACTTTGAAAATGTTGGATATAAAAGCCTAATAAATAAGCTTTCTTTCAGTACAAGAATCATTTAAATCACTTATGTGCCTGTGATGTTACGGAATTTTAAATACAACTACCGTTTCAAAGATCTGTCCACGGATCACAAAAAAAAATAAGTGTTCTTTTAGCAAAACGAAAAAAAATTCACATAGGGATGTGTGTCAATTGTTTTAGTTTTGCTGATAGAACACATGCCCGAGGCTTTTTTTGGTGATCCATGGGCAAATCTTAAAAACAGTGTCTGTGTTTAAAATTCGGTAACTTGACAAGTACATGAGAAATTTGAATGATTCTTGCACTAAAAGAAAGCTTATTAATTGGGCTTTCACATCCTAGATTTTGAAAGAGCTACATGAAGAACTTCGTAACAAAAATGCTCCTGACATTTGGGTTTCCTTTTTTTTTTACTCACCCTGTATTGATACGATCTGAGTCACAAAGGTCATTTTGGTGTATTTTTTTTTTAATTATCAGTGGAGTTGTTTGCATGCCTGAAATACTTCTTGTTATAGTGATGATACTAATCGGTTTTGTAGTCACGTCTTTTTCCCGAGTCCCCAAATATATTGCAATATGGTGGAACAACACGAACGAAGCCGGTATAAAGCACCGACGCTTTGTTGGTGAACGATTTGAATTGAAAGAAATACCAGTTTTTGGAAACATATCTATACTTGCAGCCAGACTTCGAATCGTGTCTGAGTCCGAATTCTTTTACAAAATCTCGGAAATTTTCAGTAAACCTTGCGTCCACATTCTCAGTCTCTGACCCATAATCAACGACCCATAATCGGAATCGCCTAGTGTCTAGTTTTTCAGCTTTAACTGTTGCTGTATACCAGCTTATATTTCATGCATACGTCACACAGTTTACCCATTCCTATTGGTCGAGAGCCCGATATTTTCAGAGGGCCTTACCATTGTATAACCATGTATACCTATAGAGGGGTGCTTTGTTGATCGAAATCGTTGAAAATGAATAATTTTTGACTTGTTTTGACTTTTGGTCCGAAAAAGTTTAGTTCCTTTTTTGTTTAAACCTAAAATGACTTGTGAATGGGAACAAATATGTGCTTGGTCGGTATTAAACACTCTGTTTAAGACTTGTTGGAGCCTTTGACTCGGGTAATTATCAGCATTCCAGACTCCAACCGGTCTTAAACAGAGTGTTTAACACCTCCCAAGCACACATTTATTCCCTTATTATAGCTGACTTATCTGGCTCAGAAAGTGTCTCGACTACAAAACTGATAGTTTGAATGGAGAAGTAGGTGACGTGTAAGGTGGTGACGGAGTAAGGTGGTGGGTGGGGATAACGACAAAAAGAATATGACTTGGAATTTTCTACGTGGTATATCAAAAGTTGCAATGGAGGAATAAAGCTTACAAGGATCGGAGATCTCTGAGTGGTCTGAAGAGTTCTGCTGGTATCGACGATAATCTGTTTTGTGAGATGTGCCTGCGAAATATGAAGATGTTGATTTGTATAGCAATATAATTCTTGCCGAACAACAATACGTAGTAAAACTCTGAACCCCTAAGATTGCTTTACACTTTGGTTATTATACAAATAATGAATGTTTATAAGGGCAATGGTTAGAATAACTTGGTGGAATGTTCAATTCCACGTGGCAAAGAATGGAACATTCCATCCGTCGCCGAATGAAATTATTCTTGCCATTGCACGAATGTAAAACATTCATTATTTGAAAAGTCACAACACCTGAATAAATCCCCGTCATCTGATTGGTCAGAGCCACTAATAGTGTGACCGGGCAATCGAACTACTATTTACCGTGGAATAGAACTTCAATTTTTACGGTGCGGCTGGGACTTGGGTTTGGACGAATAATTCAATGACACGTGATCAACGACCCACCAATCCGATGACGGGGATTTACTTAGGCGTTGTATAAAAATAATGACATATTTAAACAAAGCAAATACAACACAATATACGAACAAACATTGAATTTTTAAAACGATCGTTTTAAACATCTCACTCACATGAAGTAAATTCCGGACGAATCTTTGAATACCCCCATCTCGATCTCAGCCTGTCGATTGCCACGTATATCGCTGGAAAAGAATAAATAAATAAATAAATAAACAAACAAATAAACAACGTCGCAATAAAGGCAGGTACTGCTTACATGCACCACCGTCTTTTCAAAAAAAATGGTTAAAGTGGTCAGAAATTGCCTCAGATCGCACCACAGAGCTTCTAGAATCCAACAAAATTTCGGGGCCTTAAGCGGCCTATATCAATAACATAACAGACAAATATTTGAAATGAAATCTCAATTCGTCATTTTTTTCTCGATATTTTCTTGCTATCTTACGGCGTCATAGTCTTTAAATTAAAAGAGGACAAGGTTGTTATTTGTCAATTATCATACTTACAGATATTCCAAGTTGTGCAGGCCGAACAAACTTCCTCTGACAAGCCTTGTGAGGATGTTGTACGATAAATCTCTTTGAATGGGGAAGGGAATAAGAAAACGATAATATATAGGTTAATAATTGAATATTTCTTACGGGAGCTATTAAAAGAGTGTGCCACTTCGATAAAATTATGCGCCTATCAAATGTTCCCCCCTCCCCCCACCTCGCTGCCCCAGGTCCGATGTTGGGATTTGGTCACGTTTTTCATGCCCCAGGATGGCGCTTTCGGGAACTGATATTACATTGTTACCATTGGCGTACTACATGGAAAGGCAATCACTAGTGCACCCCACGTATGTATGTATATCGGGGCATGGTCGGGGATTGTCCCTTAAATTTTGCCCGAGGGGTGGGGATTTTGTCACTTCAAAAGTGACAATCCCCACGTCTACGGTGGGGCAGCCCAGGGAGAGGGGTGGGGGAAACAATTGAAAGGCGCATTACACTTAACAGAGAAATTTCTAAACAGATATCATATGTGAATATTTAATGCCTTTTTAACTCCGATTTCTAACAACCCCCCAAAACAAAACCTTAAAAAAAAATCATCGGTTTGATAACATCAACATCATGTTCAAGTCGCAACTTCTCCATCTTAGACACTATGGGCTTATTCTAGGCCTTGATCTCGGGCATGCACCAGAATTATTTAGAAGCCTTTTTGATATGTAAAAACAAAATAAAAAAATAAAAATTGAAAACGTTAATTGGCGTGATATCATTGGCCTCGAGTCAGAACACGCAGCTACACTGAACCGAAGTCCACGTTCCGAAAAATCCCAAGAAGCTGAACTGGGGACGCAGCCAATATTTGGAAAACGAAAATGATAATTCTCGGTATTAAAAAAAAAAAACTCAGTCCGCCATTATGCAGAGCGATAACGCAGGGAGTTCCAGTAAAAACGTGCTTGCACACTTTCTCTTCAGAATAAAAGATATGACAAAAATGGTCTCCCTCGATCGCGGTGTGTCATGTGTTAGTCTCGTAGATGATTTTAAAAATCTTGTCTTTGTTTGAGTTAAACAAATGGGATTACAAAGAAAGGTATTGTTATAATCAAACTCACAGAGTGACTAAACGATTTTGTGTTGCAAACATTCTCGGCGGCACATCTTCCAAATCACAGGCAATCATCCGTCTGCAAAAAAAAAAAAATCAAGTTACCTTTTTGTTTATTGTTAAAAGGCTTGTATTTCGCATCGATTAGTCTCCGGTTTCTCTTTACACAAATCATTTGCACCATAATTACTTTACTTCAGTATCGCAGGAGTTATCGTTGGTAGCATATACTCACAATGTTTGTAAATCTGTCAGCGATTCAAAAGTCCCTTCCTCGACGTTTTGCAGTTCGTTCCTGGATAGTAACCTAAAGAAATCGACATTAAAAACAGAAACGGATGTTATGATTAACTGGAATCATCAAACCCAGACAGAACATCACTTCGTTTGAATAGGCCCGTGTTTCATTAGAGAACCATTTTAACAAACTATTTGCAGAGAAGCAGAGATACTTTTGTGTTCGACTTCGACAAACAATAATGACCGGATGTAAGATTCATAAACTGACTTGCGGCGCATCATAAGCAAGCACAAAGTAGTTTGAAAACGTCCAATGACATTTAGTATGGGCCTTATACACGAGTCGGCCATATTGAACTGCAAGTGAGATAAAATCTTAATTTTTGGAACTGGCGAAGAGAAATGACAGCAAATTAATTACTAATTAAATCCAGTCTGCTTGAATAAATAATTTAAAATTTGTAATTAAACATTCCCTGGTGTTTAGCGCCAGATAAAACAAAAATGACAGTAAAATTAGGCTGCATTATACCTGCATAAATACCCTGGCGCCACCACATTCAACAGTTAAGAGTTAATGAAATACATTCAGTGAACTCGACAAAAATGGCCAACTCGTACATAAGGCCCATTGGCACTGTTTCTTACAAGGCTAATAAGAAAGGCGAAAAAGGACTTAACATTCAAAAATGATTCCATGTTTGTCAATGTTCAGACGGCAGCTCGCACTTACAGGATTTGGACACAATTATGAAAATGGCGTTCATTGGTCGTCTCAGGTCAAAGTGCAAAGTTAACAAAACAATGCATTCACTAAAACAGAGTCCCCGATGACGTTTTTGACTGACACCGAAGAGCACAAAGAAATCAGATAAACCTTTTACCGAAGTGGGATAATGATGCCATGAATTCATAGGAGATGGTTTACCGACTCAGGTTTCTGCGATTCTAAGATAGAGGCGCTGTGTCCAAATGCGAGGAGGAGTTAGCGTGTCACCACCGGAAAGAATCCATGCCGATCGCCGCAACCAAATAGGCACAACAGCCCCTAACAATGGCGGACTGTCACACGCTGGACTGATTGAGTGTATAAGATTTCATAGTGTTTGTGGATCATGAAAGCTCGGGCTACGGGGAATTGTTGGACAGCGTATTACATTTCATAAGCTTAGCACCGGGCCGTTCCATCAATAGCCAGTCCAGACATATCTTGAAAATGTGCTAAGAATGCGTGGGCTTGGCAGTTTTTAATTGTCGAGTTTTGGTGTGCTTCTGAATCGATGCATACCAAAAATTTAAAAATCTATATTAAAACAAAAACAAACATGTTCAGTATAACCCATGGCATGTACTCACAGTGGACGCAAATGTGTCAAGTGTTCCATGTCTTTTTTCATCAGGCTGGTAATTTTGTTATCTGACAAATCGCTGGAAAGAAACAAAACAAAAAAAAAACAGTGATACGAAGTACGATTAGGATATGCTTTTAACACTTTTACTTTTCATGACACGAACTTTACAGCGTATATCCAGCTTTTGTAAATTGTGTATTGGTGTATGATTTGGTACAAATTTGAAAATTTAAAAGCACAAAACGAAAACAAAATATAAAATCTTTGTACAATTCTGAAAAATATATTGGTAAGGTAAAGAACATTTTGGTGTCTACAATAAGCGAGTTCGGTATTCCAAAATAGTCTGGTGCACAGCAAGATTGAACGATTTCTTTTCGGGATGGCAGATAAATGCAAAGAAGGCTATGAGGGACGTGGTAACCGAATCTATATTCTGTGCAATTTTTCGTGCAATCGAGAAGAGATGGAACTATCGTTCGCACAAAAGTTTGGACACACAAGACACCTAAAAACACTTCGCTGTCCAAACTCTTTTTGCAAAAATGTTACTTCAGAACACGATGATCTCTTCAACTTTGCTGGTACCCCGCTATGCTTTTGCACGCGTACGATGACATGTTTAAAGAAAAATCGGCAAATCTGGATGTGCACATGAGCAGTTGGAATACCGAACTCACTTATTACGGATACAAATCTAAACATCGACACCATTTATGAATGAAAAATCGCGGACCATATTTAACACTGCTAGAATTTAGTGGGCACATTCGGCAATTTTTGCATTGTAACTGGAGGACTACACAAAAAGGGAAAGTCACCAAAAGTGCGTATCCGGTGTCCGGTTGAATAACATGTGACTTTGAAGACAGAGCTACGCTGGTAATCAGAGTATGAAGAGGACACTGGATTGAATACTTCATACAAAAGTGGTATTCAGTATCTCTCTATTTTGCTTTTCTCTCAGGAATAATGGGCTGAGTGTACGGTCATTTAGCCGCTTCCTTTGGTATGGTATTTCATTTGTGTACTTGAAGTTGGGTGCTGATTGATAATATGATATAGCAGTGGTGGAATTCCCTTTGGACAAAAAAAAGAAGTGCAAAGGCTATATTGAACTGCTTAGTTTCTGGCTTTGGACAGACATGACTGATAACAAAAAAGCCTAAATCAGCCCAGATTCATCAAAGTCACAATGGGAACGCAGCCGGTCTTGCGTTCTAGACGGCGCCCTTACGATTATTTTTGGAGTCGGTGAGAGTAACATTTAATGGCTTTTTTGAATCGGGATTTTTTTTGGACTGAGGTTTAAGTTACCGTTTAATCAGAAATAATGGGTTAGCTGTAACCAGTGGCGCAACTACGGGTGTGTGTGGGGGGGGGGGCAGTGGAGGTCCATGCCCCCGGGTTCCCCCACCCCCAACTCCCACCCCCCCCACCCCCAATTTTAAATCTTGAATTGCACAAAAACAATTATACATGTATCAGTGCCTTCAGTGACCCCCTCCAAATATCGGTGCACCCCAGCTAGGTGCCCCCAAGAGTTATGCCGCTGGATGTAACAACGCTGACAGCCCGATCGTCCGAAGGTTCCATTGTCCGAAGGTTCTTTAGTCCGAAGGGTCATTACATCCGAAGGTTCGTTCGTCCGAAGGTTCATTAGTCCGAAGGTTCGATTGTCCGAAGGTTCAATAGTCCGGAGAGCCCATTAGTCCAAAAATAGAAACCAGAAGGCTCGATAGTACGATAGGATGCGATAGTCAAACGATAACGTTCGATAGTCCGAATAGGTGATAAGACTCGATAGTCCGAACTGCAGTACGGTTTCGTCAGTGTGACACTTCGGACTATCGGAACTTAGCCTACCTCATTCTCTATTCGGACTATTGGACCTTTTTGTCGATTCGGGCTATCGGACCTTACAGTCTATTCGGACTATCGAACCTTATTGTCAGTTCGGAATATTAAATGAACCTTCGGACTATTAAACCTTATTTTTGTTTCGGACTATCGAACCTTCGGACTAATTAACTTCCGGATTATTGCATCAAATTTTCGGATTAACAAACCTTATTTCATTTTCGGACTAACGAACCCCCTTTTATGGGAAATGTGTGCATTCGGACTATCGAACCTTCGGACTAAAAAACCTTCGGACTATCGAACCTTCGGACTATCGAACCTTCGGACTATCGGGCAGACCCTGTAACTACGATGACCAACTTAATAGACCATTATCATGTTGCGGCCATTTTGATTTTTTGCCATTCAAATCAATTTAACCAAAGCGAGGCTGGAAGGAAAAAATAAGCTGGTTCCTTTTTGCACAAAAAACATTATCATTCAGAACTGTTATGGATACAGGGAACGTGACTGAAATGGTGGCAGCATGGTGAAGGTCTAGTACCACAAATCCCTTCCTCACAATGATTCTGGAGTACATTGCTAATTGTAAACAAGAAATGATCGCATGAGAAGTAATAAAAAACAGTGTGCTGGTGTAAAAATACGTCAAATGAAATCAAAAGATATTGAATAAGGAGCCGACATTAAAGAGCGATTCAATGAGAAGAAACTCTGATGATGCTGACAGTTTAAATGGGCTACCCAGTTAAAATTAAGAAATACATAATATAACATAAATAAAATACCACATGGAATTTCTCTTCGGACGTCTTCGTTTTCAGCTTTATTCCCAAAGAAGTCATCCCACATCTTGGCCAAATTCCAGTCTCCTGAGGCAGTGGAAACAAAAAATAATAAAAAGACCTCTCATGGAAACAAAAAACCGAAATGTATGTCCTTATATGAAGAGCACGTGTACTGCACCGAGCTTTAAAAAAAATGTTGCTGTAAAAGACTTTAATCACGAGTCGGCCATATTCAATTGAAAGCGAGGTAAACTCTTCATTTTTGGAACTTGCGAGTAAAATGGAAAGCAGTGAAATATAAAGTCATTACAAATTAATACCAGTCTGCTCTGATGGATATTTTAAAATTTGTGATTAAACAAACCCTAATGTTTTAAGCCAGGTTTATAAAAAAAGAAAGAATTGAAAGTGAGGCTTGATGAAACGCACTCCAATCATAAAATAGTCTGGTACAATCCCATTCAACAGTTTACAATATATAAAATAGGTTCAGGGAACACGATCGAAAATGGCTTTCGTGTGCATAAGGCCAAAAAAAAAAGTCTCCGGTTTCTGGTATGGAGCTTGCCCAAAAAGTGGTGCGGCGACGCGGCCTTTTTTTTTTTTTTACCTGATTTTTTTGCTTCAAATGTCGGCTGATGACTGCAAATTGTGCCCGACTAAACTTAGTGCAAATATATGGAAGCCCAGAGAGGCCACATAAAGCTTATTCTCGACCACAACCCAATCTAAAAACACGTTAAAATTGTGCAGCAGCAGGATTCCAGTCAAACCAGTGAGTTTGGCGGTTTTGAGACATCATTTTTCATTGAAAAAAAAAACTTTTTCATT